AATACTACGGCTCCCAAATCGACCTGCCTTATTGTCTAGTATATACTGGTGTTTTGAATGACTGATTATTACATAGGAATTCAGTACCTTTTTCTTTATTTCTAATGAAATAGCAAGAAGGAGTTTTAATAAGAAAATGTCATGTACCTTCAGAATGAAGACAATAAAGATTATTCACACATTACTTGTTAATTGTCACACATTCTTGGAAAAGATAGTGAATTGATTTCCATTGCTTTCTTCCGTCTTGGAATTCAGATTGTTTGCCTTTTCTTAGACTGCTGTTCACCCAACACTGGAGAATCTAGTTTAACTTATTATTCAAACCATAGCTGAAGGATAAAGGGACATAATCATACCTTTAATGGATGTAACAGACTAGTCCAGAATTTGAAAACCTGACGCCCGCGTTCACATTCGGCGCCAACATCCGTTACACTACCTGTATATTCAACTTTCGGAAAAATACAAATATTTAACGTTCGAATACAGCTATAATTTTGAATGCTGATTTTAAAGGCAGGCACTCTCCACTTGGAAGATTGGCGATATTCCATATTTCTCATTTTTATTTTGCATGTCAAAATGGTTTATTGTAACAATACAGACATTTAATAAACTAAGACACATGGCTTTAATAAAGTTACGCAAATTGAATATCGCCAGACTTCTGAGTAGAGAGTCCCTGTCTTGAAAATCAGCATTCAAAATTTTGCCTTTTATCTAAATTTGTATTGTGGTCTCAGTGTTTGGTATCTGGGGTAGTGGCCTATTATATAGGCCACTACCCCAGATACCAAACACACCCTTGTAAATTTAAATCATATTTTCGAAACCACAAGAACGTAACACCCGTTTTATGAAGAATGTGTCAAAAGTTTGGGTGTCAAACAACTGAGGTTACTAGTTTAAAAAAAGTTATCAAGACGCTTTATTTCACAAGAAGTATTATGGGATACGATTTTCATCAAGCCCTTTTAGATGATATGATAAAGAAGTATTTGTTAAAAGTAGAACCTGAAAGAGAATCGCAGAAGATCTGTGAAATAAAAGCGACAGATTTTTAACGACTGGAAGAAAGACGGCATGAAATGTCTTCTGAGTTTTTATGTTCCAATACGGACCTTTTCGGAAATGATTCAGCACTTCCGTATATGTTTCAATCTGTCTACACTTCCTTGACTAAGTATCAGTCGCACTTGTCTCGCTAGATCAATTACGACTGAATAGTGAGTTCTATCCTCATTGGGTGCCCTGTACTTTCAGCCTTGTGCCACATCTAAGCTATGCTTAGAAAATTACCCTAAGTATCTGTCGAACGTACACTAGAAGAAAAAAACAAAATAACATTTGCGAACTGACGAATCTGCAAAGAAAACTTGTTTGCTATGCTCTCTTTTTTTATTTTTCTACTTTAAAATTTCACCTCAAGCAAAGCAATAAAGCCACTACGACACAAGAGGTTATTGAGTATTAGAGAATATGAGAAAAACTACTATTAAAGAGAAAGAACAATAAAATAACGGGAATTAAGAAAACGGAAGATAATGATTGACACTGCATTTAAATTTTTGAAGATCAAATTGTCTGGGAAGCAAGAAACCGGCAGAGAGCTCCACAAGCGAGAAGTGCGATTTGAAGAAACTGTTAGCATAGAACTTACGGTTACAGCTAGCCATTTCAACTGTAAAAATGCTGAGACTTTGCCACCAATCTAGTACTTCGCTTAAATCCATAAAGTCTTGGTAGCATGGAGTTAAGCTATATTTATTCTGAAAAATATAAAAATGTGGCACAAGGCCAAAAGTGGGGATAGAGGAAGGCTGGTCTTCAATCTGTCTTTTAAACTTAGCTAGCCAGAATTACTGACCCAAACATACCACGGTATTCCTTACACCAAAACAACACATTGTTACTTACCATTCTTACCAAAACCACCATATCACCTCAGAATCTGTATAAAGCTCTAATTAGTTCCCATATGTACAATTTCTCTGGTATGGGAGAATAAAAATAAAAACTTAAAAGAAAATGAGGCCCCAATGAATATGCATATCAGTTATGTTATAAATATTTTTTTTGGTACTCTACGACATTTTACAATCCAAGATACTTACATTTAAAATGTCACCCATCATTATGGGACACCATATATATATATATATATATATATATATATATATATATATTGAGCGCTTAGCCTTGGAGCGGGTAGAATGGAGATCAACGTGTTTTAATGGACTCAGCAATTTTCAGTCTGCTTGTCTGAATCATCTTCAAGAAGCGAGAACAAGATCTAAAAGGTGAGCCAATCCAACAGTCATCTCATCTCACAATCCTCACACTTGCTCCATATGTGGCCTCCTTTGTAAATCACTAGTGGGTCTTAAATGCCACTTAAGATTATCGCATCAAAACTTGCATAACTGAATCAATAAGCTGTCAGATCCTCATACGTCGAAACAGACGGGAGAGTCCATTATTATTAAATATATATTCACTTCCATCTATACTTATCCTTTTCTACATATCTGTCATTCCTATATTTCATGTACGAATGATAATGGAATATTAGCAACTGCATCATCACCGATGATGCCAAAATAGACTTTGTACTCAATATCCATCAAATAAGCCAGTTGATCTGAGAGATAACCTCCTAGATACAGATCTGTGCCACCACTAGATGTCAGTGGTTGTCTCCGACTTGTCAACACGTGGTCGTTCCAGCTGCGCCTACAATTTGCACCCGGGAAACAACCGGATAACAGGTAGATATATAAGCACTCTGCCGAGAGGAAAGAAGAAGAGGGTATTTTACATTCTCACGAGAATGTAGAATCTGCGTTCGGAGAAAACCACAAAGCCACACACCCTTTCGCAGACAGTAATGGAGTTAAGGAAACAATAATGTTTCGTATGGAACATTCAGCCTCGTATTTTTACTAGTCTGTATATATGAATCCATCTTCCGCCAACTATTAGTTAAACAGCAGGAATTGTATCTGGAAAAAATCATTGTTATCTCAAAAAAAAAAAAATGTGAATGCAATATTCTCTCGCAAAAAAAGTTTGTTTATATATATATATATATATATATATATATATATATATATATATATATATATATATATTCACTCAATAAAAGCCTAAGAGCCAATCAAGGTAGAGGGTTACTAAAGAAGGTGTGTGATATGGACGCAAGAGGAAGAAGTAGGACTTAAAGATTATAAGGTAGATAGTCATAGATCTTGTTTTGAAGAGTTTAAGATTGTAATGTTGTGGAAAGCAACTACATAGGATTCTGTTCTATAGAATAGGGGTTCTTGGGAAGAAGTTGTCTCTGTGGAGCTTTTTTCTGATCAAATGAAGGCCGATTCAATACTGTGAACATAGCAAAGCTGGTCTTAGCTGTAAGGGTTTGAATTCGTGGTGTTAAAGAATGAAGCTAGTTTGAATACTTGCCATGGATGTAGCGATAAAGTAGCAATAAGCTTGCGACTATTGAAAAGGGGTTGCAGGGTGGAAAATAAGTAATCTCCCAAAAGGCCACGTGAACGACTCTGGAGTTTGTCAAGGCTGGAAAAGGAGGTACGGGCAGTTCCAGTTCATATAAGGTAATAATAGTCTAGTTTTGATCTGATCTGACTCTTGTAAAGCGAAAGGTCTGACATCTGACTCTTGCATAGCGAAACAAGTCAGGAACGATAGATCATTTTTCCAGCATCTTTAGCGATTAATTATATATATATATATATATATATATATATGAGTCACTTATGTCATCAGCAGATATGAGTTGTGAACCCATGATATCAGGAAGGTCATTAATGTAAATCAGGAACTACGTAGTCCCAAGGATAGAGCCCTGGAGGACACATGCATTAATGTAAAAAGATCTAGAAGAGTGGCCGTTCAAGATAATTTTAATTTTGCGATTTTATAAAATAGATTGAATCAATTTAAACATTCGTCCAGAAATACCATAACCTTTCAACCTGTCAAATGCCTTCGAGATATCCAAAGCAACAGCCCCATTTTCATCCTTTTATTTAAAGTTTGATAGACCCTTTAAGTAATAACTGTTAATAAATCAGTAGCTCACTGAGAGAAACGAGTTCTATTGCTTATCCTACCCTGCGATATGAGAGGCTTAATCAATTTTCAGTAATTTCTCAAAAAGGATAGAAGCCCGACAGTTAGAATGATCAGACGGTTCGCCCGAGTTTTTAAAGACTCAAACTAAAAAAGTGGATTTCCAACAAGCAGGAAAGCAAGATTGGGGGTCTGCGGAGAGCTTGAATCCCAGTAGACGTTAAAGACAAAATATGAGCAAAAGTTCATCAGGCAATTCAGTGTGTGCTCGTGAACTAATAGGAAGCATGTACGGGTAGTTTTTAACGGATATCGTCGCGGAAAGTAACGTAACACTCAGTAACGCCCTAGTGGCTTTATTGCCTTGCTTGGGGTGAAATGAGTGTTAAAAAAATTAAAATGAAAATAAATCTTGTAGGTCACCTAGACGTACAGCAATAGTCAACGAGTTACTTTGGTTGACCATTACTATTCAGCAGTGAATTTACTAATCATTGGGTGATCCATACTTATAGCCTTGTGCCATACTAAGTAAACAACAATAAATAAAATTTGTCCTAAATGCTAAATTTTCCATCCGAACATTAAAATGAAATTCAGTTAAAACAGCCTTTCAACTCTGAATTTTGTCATCGATAGATTTGGTTTTTTTTTTTACAGCTTACCAACCTTTTGAAGGTTATTTAAAGCCAAAGAATATTTTTAGATTGTAAGATTATTTTAAAGATAATACTGATTTACTGATACAAGTCCTACTAATTAAACCATAACTGGGGGAGAAGAGGTGGATTCATGCCTTTCCAAAGGGTATTTGCGCGTAATTGAAAATAAGGAACTCGATTGGAATTGGAATTCAGCTTTCCGATTTCCAGTTCCGAGTCATTACACCAGCTGCACATATAAGTTTACAGTACCTGGTTTTCCTAAGCGGTAACCCATGGAGGTATTGACAAGGCTCGACGTTGCTTAACTTCGGTAATCGTACGAGAACCGGTTTTTCAGCGTGATATCTTCTGTCCAATTAAAAATGTGCATATTGCATTAATATTCTTCATCTAATTAGTTTTTTAATTAACAAATTATTCTCAGTAGAATTTAGACTGAGCTATTTAATTCTTATAAATAGCCAATATCAAGTTCAATAGATCAATAGATCTTCTTTCGATGCCACACCGCATTTAGTATTGAACCGTTTTGCATCATCTGCAGCTTTAGTGGATTTGCTGGTGCTGTAATGTATAGCGGCTCAGATTGAGGAATCGGAGAGTACTGCTTTCTTCTGCCCCTCTTGCCTTCAATGTATCCTGTCAAGTGTCAAGTTTTCCAAGTCCTCTTTTCTCATCATGTGCCCTAAAAATTTCAACTATCTCTTTCTATTTCTATGTATAAGTGTCCTTTTTGCCTCCATTTTCTCTAAAACTTCGTCATGTTCAGTTCACTGTAGAACCACGTTTTTGATGTCTCAAGTCTTTTCTTCATCTGTAATGAGATTGTCCAGCATGAATTTTCATATAGGATAAACAATATTACATAACAATTCAGCACTGTTTTCGACATTTACTTGTTTCTTAATACTTTGCTTAGTTTTTGGAATGCTCTTTTCGCTATCCAAATGCGCCTTCTGATATCTGTGACGCGTTTTCCGTCCTTTGTTCAAACACTGCCTACATATTTAAATTGTTGTAGTTGCTTGATTGCAATTAATCTCCAATGGCTTGCATCTTGGGTTGTTCTATTTGCTGACAACCATATATTCTGTCTTTCGAGAGAGAAAACGAAACAGCGTATCAAAAAAAGAGAGACAGAAAGAATGAAAATTTTAAAATAGGAACGAGAAGGAAGGAAGGAAGGAAGGAAGGAAGGAAAGAAAAATGGTGGTTAGACAAAGTTGAAGAGAAAGAGGAAGAAATGCAAATAATAGTCAGCTGTTTTGATTCCTCCACCTCTCCTTCCACACTCTGTCTGTACCAAGGCGATGTCTGTATCCTTCCTGGCAGAAAATGTATAATCAATAAGCCGATCCGGAAGACTGCCCCAAAAAAAAGGTTCCCAACCCTACTTCTTTCTGTCTATAAACTAATATCGACTTGATAAAAATAATTATTTATCTCATCGAGTCTACACGAACTTTGATTTCTTAATATAGCGACCTTATCCGAATCGACAAAGTCCGATGTTTTGGAGACTTCAAATACATCATTGTTATGACTTAATTTCATCTCGTTGATAAGCTGCTGGTGTAACGGATAGCGCTTCGGGCGAAGGAAGTCGTAGAGCCTAGTTCGAACTCAGGGGATTTTTTTTATATTCACTTACACACAAATAACACTGGGAAACGTGTGAGTCCAGCCACCCCCAGCTATGGGTTAAATAGTAGGACTTGAATTTTAAAAAATCATTGTTATCTCAAAAGAAAAATTTGAATGCAATATTCTCTCGCAAAAAAAGAATTATTCTTACAATCCCCCAAAATATGTTTAGACTTTCAATAACCCCCCATAAAGTGTTGATTAGTCATAATAAATCAATCATTTTGTCGTATTATGTCTGACTGAAGGATATATATATATATATATATATATATATATATATATATATATATATATATATATATATATATATATATATATATATCGCACATGTAGTGTTCAATATAATACAGCAGAGCTATTAAGTATATATTAATAAATATACATATTATCCCTCATCGATAGCACGACAAACTAAATTACAAAGACAAATTTATTGTAACTGCGATAAAATTTCTTCATCTCTATTACCCCATTCAGATGATCATTTCACATTGACAAGCCCCAGGGAGAATATCCCGGGTGTGAAATGGCCATCTGAAAGTGGTAATAGAGTTTCATTTTTATATAATTCATAATTTGTAAACAGTGGCTATTACTATTAATACGTCTCAATTCGCCTTCATCCCTGCCAGCTTAGAGGTAAAATCTCCGGATAATACCAGAACAGTCGGGTTTCGATCCCGGCTTGAGACAATCGGATATCTAGCCACTGTGGATGACATTATATATACATGCTCCTGAAAAAATTATTTTGAGCTCTTCGGGGAGAAAAGGGAATTTGTAAACAGTGACTATTACTGCGGCTGACGCGAGACACTTCGTTAAGACAAATCAAGTTCTCCGGTCACTGGCGTGTTTGTCTAAAAATAAATACGTCTAAATTCACCTTCATCCCTGCCGTAGGGGTAAAATCTCCAACTGATGCCAAATCAGTCGGGTTTCGATCCCGGCTTCAGGCAATCAGATATCTAGCCACACTGATGAGTTGTGGAACAGCGAAACAGTCTGTCTGTGGATGACAATATATATATATATAACTAGATACTAAAATCAACACCTAGCGGCGACAGTCTGTTTTATGCATAAATACAGTCTTCAAGCCATGAAACAGACTGTCACTACTCGATGTTTACTTCAATGTCTACTTTTATATTTTATATTTACATACGCTCTATCCATGATATTTACCTATAAATATAGCATATCTTAAGACTATAATTTTATCAGACAGCAATTTTATGATACATTTATTCATTAGCAGTAAAATAATAAAAATTTGACTGTGGAAAAGTTAAGCATTTCGTTAACCGCAGTGTCCGGGTATCTATATTACTGAAGCAACAAAAAAAAATGACTAATTAAATGACCGACTGTAGAAGAGCGCTTTTCTTTAGGGTCGATGACTCGACACATTAGGCTGTGGAAAAATGAAGCCTGATTTTTTTTTGTTTTTTTAAGCATGCATTTTTAAAAGCGCAAATCACTTGTTGCTATTCATAGACTTCGGTCTACTTCTAGTAAGTATATTATCTACAGTCAATCATCTGTGTCGGGATCTAAACTCACTATACCTCGATCAGCGAAAGTCTCAAATAAAATGTAGAGCTTTTGTGGAGGACCCCACCTTTTAACAAGTCACAATATTAGTGTTTCGACCATAGAGATCCCTTTTTGTTTTTGTTCTTTTGTTTTTTTCCGCAGGTTTTGAATTCAGAGTTGCCCTTCTCCTAGACCAGTTGCCATCCAAGTCTATAGAACCCAGTCTGTCCTGCTATTTACCCATAGCTGGAGGGGGGAGAAGACGAGAGGATGCATACCTTTCCGAAGAGTATTAGCACGTAAGTGAATGTTATGGATTCGACTGAATTCGCATTCGGCTCTCCGATTCCCCAATCCGAGCCACTATATATATATATATATATATATATATATATATATATATATATATATATTTAAGCGTTTCACCCCAAGCAAGGCGTGAAGCCACTAGGACGCAAGGGGTTACAGAAGATTTGGAGCACGATCAGATAGGAGTGATAGAGGAAAGGATGAGGAGAAGGATAGTGGATAGATCAAGACAACTGGAGATGTCGATTGACATTACATTTGAATAGTTGGAGATTATAGCTCTCAGGGAAAATGGAATAGGGGAGGGAGTTCCACAAGTGAGAGGTGCGAGACATGAAGCTATTGAAGTAGAAGAGACCGTTACATTTAGGGGGTTCGACAGTGAAAGGGTGAGAGCGGGATGCCAGCCTCGTAGGGCGCTTGAACTCATGAAGTCTGGGAACCAGTGAATGCAGCTCCTCGGAGCAATTGCCATGAAAGTATTTGTAAAACAGACTGAGAGAGGCGACGGCGCGTCTGTGAGAGAGTGACTGTAGACGAGATGCCAGAACAGGGCCAATTATATTGCATATTCGCCTCTGGAGCCTATCAAGAACCCCGAGGCAAACAGACGGGGCTCCAGACCATATATGGCAGCACTACTCCATGCAAGGGCGAATTGTTGATTTGTAGATCTGGAGGATCGATTCTGGGGAGAAAAATTTCCTGGCGCGGCACAGGGAGCCAACTTTCCTTGCGGTGGACGAAGCAATTGACTCAATATATTTGTTCCATCTCAGGTCAGTAGCCAACGTGAGACCGAGCAGCCGCAGAGAGGTGCTCTCGAGAAGTTGAGCGTCAAACATTGTAATGGAGGACAGGGAAGGATCTCTGTGGTGACAAGCTATATTTTTAAGAAATGTTAGAACATCTTTGGTGTATGCAAATTCATATTTTCGTAACCGAATCGTTAAGAAAGTAATTTAAGCAATCACTGGATTTGTCTTTTAATTGGACAGCATTTCTTCTTGCTATAATGTTAATAGTAACAACCGTTTCCATGCAGGAAACATTCGACATCCATTGACCGAATACCGTTGTTGCCGGTTGAAATTTGTAAAACCTTTTTCTTAAAGCAGTTTTTTTTTTCAAGAAATTATACTTCTTAGCGCCAATGTTATCACTCTTTCTAGCACCGATGAACGCTCCATTCTAACTCTTTTCTTTTCGATAGTGTGGAAAGTAAACATCTTGATTGTATCATTATTATCTCCTCTTGTTACTGTTAGAAATGTTCAAGAGATGAGTTTTTGTTATTTGGTAAAACACTTTGTGTTTATCTAACGCCAGTCTATGGGGTCTGATGAAGTATTTTTCTCTTTAAGACCTAAAGGATCCATTCGCATGAAATCATTTTTAATATATTATTTTTGAGAGTACATAAATTTCAGTTTGTTAATAAACAGGGGTTTCTACTCAAACACACGTAACAACTAAAATAAAGTGTTTATAATAAGAAGAATTATTGTTGTATAAAAAATCATTAATTGCATATATATATATATATATATATATATATATATATATATATATATATATATATATAATCTCCGACTGATGCCAAATCGGTTGGGTTACGATCCTGGTTTCAGGCAGTCGGATGTCTAACCACACTGATGACGTGTGATTCAGTCTGTCTGTAGATCACACATATATATATACGCCCTCGAAAAAATAAAAGTTCGGTCGAGCAATTTAGAGGGAAAAGCGAGAATTTGTAAACAGTGACTGCTACTGCTTATGCAAAAGCTCTTCTATGAATTGAGCACTCTGAGTCACTGGCGTGTTTATTCTACAATAAATG